TGGCCCCTGCGCAAGGATGACACGCGTAAATCGAGGAATGGTCCAAATTGAAAAAAAAAAAGGAAATCAACAGGTACAGAGTAACTGTCAGACTCCGAACATGGGAAAAAAAAAATAAAAGAAGAAAGAAAGGTCACACAAGGAAACAGGGACCCGCCTTCACTCCGGAAGGCTCTCTTAGCATGGTACGACGGCCCACGCACGGCGCTGCCGAGGAAGGTTGCTGTGTCTGCCACTTGGTGGCCATTTTCCGGAGGTATATTGCAACTGTGGCGCACTGCTGCCAGTCCATCCGAGGAACTGCGTTCCGTTGCTGAGACATGGGGAACGTTTCCCGTTTCATATCAGACACACTTCACATATCCTGTGAAAAGCTGGATATCCAGACGACTCAGATGACAACCATGACCGATAAATATGCAGGAGAGAATACAACGTGTCATCTATCTGCATGCATTTGGAAATAAAGGGCCCGCCACTGCAAGGAGAATGGAGGATCTGACGTGGTAGTGATGTATGATGAGAATAGGCTTTCACAGGCAAACTGGACCCCTCATTATCCTACCATAATGCTTGCGAGCTCTTTCTGGGGAAATCTGAAGCTATGAGAGTCAGCAATGTTCCTGAAGTTCTCCACCGAACGCACGTCGACGTCGATCGTGAGCGACTGGAAAGGCAAATAGAGATCCTGAGGCGGGAGTACGAGGCAGTAAAGAAGAATATGGAGGAGCTCACCAGATCGATAAGACTCTCCGACAACGCAATGAAGAGAACGGGTGTGGGAGTCTGCGTTACCAGTCCCCCGAGACTTCAGTTTACCCTCGCTAGCTTAGTGTGTTTGATTTCTATGTCGTGCTTTATCTCTTCCCCTTCTTCTTCTTCTTCTTCTTCTTCTTCTTCCTCTCCCTCTCTCGTTCATTCCTATACATGCTCTTTGCGTTGCTTAATGTCTCTGCCCCCTCATATGGGTATCTCTCTCTGATCTACTTCGTCCTTATCTAAATATCTATTGCTGCGCTCCAATTTATGCAATGGAATGGCTCAATATCCTTTTGTGGTTAATGAATGCTCTCATCTTTTGGCTTCGTGTGCTTAGAATTTTCATTGAAATATCGTATGGCAAGCTCCGTTACGCGATTGCTAGATCTAAGAGAGAAGATGAGAATAGGCGATTCAGGAGCAACAAACGCTATCCCCCTTGTTAAATTCTATTTTTTTTCTACTTTCCGCTTCAAATTCGAGTTGTGCAACTGTTGTTGCCATGCTCTGATCCCCACCTGCGGCTCGAGCAATAACCTGTGTAGGAATTGTACTACATTAGCGTGGTTGCTTGTGTTTTTCTTCATTTCCTTCCTTCCTTCCTTCCTTCATTTTTCTTCCTTCCTTCCTTCATTTGCCTTTTTTTGCCTTCATTTGCCTTCAATCGTCCTCCAATCTACCCTTACCTATTTTCTCCCCCTGTCCGCCCCCGTTTTTCTACTCATCACACTGGATTCTCTGCTCACCTTGCTCCCGTACGTGCATGTGTGTGTTTTTTTTGGTATGAGTATCTTTCGCTCGGACCCTCTGTATGCATAGGTTCCTAAGTGCAAGCTACCGGTTACTTGTGAAACCCTTTTGCCTGTCCCATCCTACGCGTACAATCTCTGACTTCTCGTCTGCGTGTTTCTGTTTGCAGGTCCGATTGTTGTCCTTTCTTTTTCACTGAGGGTTCTTTAACTTATCTTGCTCCTTTGCTGTGTTCCAACCATCACAAGTGCGTGCGCCTGCCTTCCCGCCCCTACCACTGCCTTCGTCTAACGACAATTCCCCTACGCATGGCCCGTTGCTTGCTTTGCCCCCTCCCCCTTCGCAGTCTAGCAATCTTAATTTTATTCCTAACTATAATTCCTCTCAGTTGGTGGTCCCGAGGGAATCCTGGTGGAAGCTCAACCAGGATAAGCTGGACAAGGTATATGAGTTCATGGCTTCCGAGCTGGAAGCTAGACAGGAGGCGATTCGCGAGAAGGAAAGACAGCTAAAAAAGGAAGAAGAAAAACGGAAGGCCAAAGAAGCTGAGGAAAAAGCACTTCGGAAGCTCAAGGAGAGACAGGACTTTGAGGAAAGGATTGGATCCATTGTGGGAACGAAGATTAATGACGCTTGCGAGCTCTTTCTGGGGAAATCTGATGCTATGAGAGCCAGTAATGTTCCTGAAGTTCTCCGAACGCATGACGACATCGATCGCGAGCGACTGGAAAGGCAGATAGAGATCCTGAGGCGGGAGTATGAGGCAGTAAAGAAGAATATGGAGGAGCTCACCAGATCGATAAGACTCTCCGGCAATGCAATGAAGAGAACAGGTGTGGGAGTCTGCGTTACCAGTCCCCCGGAGGCACCTGCTAGGGGAAGAGCCAAGATTATCGGCGTCGACACTCCCACATCTGACGATTTCCAAAAGCTCATCAAAGCGTACAATTCCGTGAAGGAGGGCAAGCGCCTTGCAGATATGGAAGTACAAGCCTTAAAGGATAAATTTGAACGTGTTGTTTCCAGGTTGGTGAGGCAAGGTCGGACTCCCCGCTCTAATCTCGCTAAGAGGATGAACGAGGCAACTGATGATGAAGAACTCGACGTACATGGGCATCAGGAAGAAGGGCTTGATGATCTCTCTCTGCGACCTTCACCTCCAAGGCGAACCTCTGGTCGTCTTGCTTCCAAGGCTGCTGCCACCGAAAAAGCAGATTTCATCAAGGAGACTAAGAAGTACCTTAAACGATTGAAGAAACAAGGGTTGCAGACTCTATGCAGCAAGGAGGGCGTCACTTTCGTCACATGCGAACAGGCTGTAAATGAGCTTGCCGAACTGCGTACCTCCCTCGCGTTTGATCTTCGGCCCCAGCAGAAGACGGACCAGCGTGCTCCAGACTCTGAAGTCGAAGAAGCCAAGGAAGATGATCATGAAGCGGTTGATGTTCAAGCTACGCAGCGTGTTGACATCGAAGACGATGAACCTATCGGACACGAATAGGGCCTTTGCCCGAGTGGTAGTACGTTGTGGAATCTCCTTAACTCTTGCTTTCTCCTCCGTAGTTCTAAGTCTGGCCTTCTCGATTCTCAGCTCAACTACCTGGTTCGGCTCATAGCCATCGCTCTTATCCTCTTTAAGCAAATCCCTTGGTGTCTCAAATTCTCGGATCATCTGGTGCATCTCCTAGATACGAACTATGATTTTCTCACTGCACCTGGTCCTTCTGTTTACAGTCTAGTCTCTCCCTACGTGAAACATTCCTATGTTGGTAGCACCACTAGGTCGCTTGATCTCAGATGGGCTGAGCACGTCCACCGATCTAGGTCTATGGATCTATCACCCGTTGTTACAAGGAATCATAGACTCTATAGGTGGTTGCGGAGGGTTGGGGTGCATAACTATGTTGCCATCCCTCTTGCTGTCCTTCGACCTGAGGACCTGTTAACTGCTGAAGCCAGAATCATTCGTTGGGCCTCCCCCTACCTCAACAGCAGATTGGTATCACCCAGTAGAAAAAAAACTAAGCGTCGTAGACCAGGTAAAAGGGAGAGAATGAAAGCTGCTATGAAGCGGCCAACAGTTCAGCCATGTCTGTCTGACTGAGCTGTGTATGCCAAGCAAAGTGGACCAAAGAAACTGACTTTTTACGTTACATTTGTTGGAACATCATCTATCTCCTTGTTAGCCATTTTGAATGATTGTCTTTCCCATGGTATTACTTCATTGTCGCTGCTGGCCAAAGGTGGGTGCATGTCAGCCGATGCTTGGAAGGTAGTAAAAAGAGTGTTTGGTGGATCGATTGTAATTAGTAAGTATGGGAGAAACCAATTAAAGTTTTGTAAGACCTGGATCGAAAGTGGGGCGGTTTTCAGAGTAGATCCAATAGTTAAATTTTGCTCTCGTTCGGACTCTCTCAAACCCACTGTATCTCGACTGTTGAGTCATCCCTATGAGAGACGGGACTTATACAAGTGGTCATTTGACAACCTCGTCTTTGCTTACAATACGGCCAGGAGTTTTTCCACGAAATCCTCCAAACAATCACTCAGAGTTATTCTGTCTAATACTATCCGTCGGAGATTTGGCATTTCTCCACGCATACGTTTGGTTTTTCGTATCAAGTATTCGGATAGGCTCTCAAAGGCTGTTGTTCGCAGGTTGTGTGTTCACCTCGTTCGGAATACGGATATCCCTACTTCTCTGTCTAGCATGCTCTCTCGTCGTATGCGTGTGGTTTGGACTAAGAACAAATGTCTGGCACAACTTATGCATAATTTTGAGGAGTTTTTCCCGTCAGGAACAACTCGATTGCTGTTGCAGTGATGTTCGTAACAATTTCTCACATCTTATCGGTCCTTATACCTCCTCCTCCCCACCTGCTACCCCGGCTTCTGCACCCCCCCTCAATTCTGCACTACCAACGATTGATGGCCATATTGCATTCTGAGCAATGGACTGTGCCTTCCTCCCTGTTTGGCTCCGCAACTCCCGCAACATTCCACCCCCTCCTGTCGCCTATAACTCATCTTTTCTCTAAACCCAGCTGCTTGGCACGCTCAAGCAGGTCCCTTCCTTGTCTCCCAAGCCCCTCCAATTCCCAATCCCTACATCCCTCCTTAGATCTTGCTTCAAGCAATCCGTCCCTTCCAGTCTCATTCCACCTCCCTCTGAATGTGTATCTTTCATACCCTCCCCCATTTCCCTTCCCCTGCCCCTGAAGACCATGCGTGACCTACCGTTTAATCTTCATAGTATTTCTAGGTGGAAGAGTTAGCTCGATTGTTTAGTATTGGCACAGGTGGACCACAACCCTGAAGATACGCTCTTCTGCTGTCCTGCCTTCTTTGAACAGGGCATGAACTCACTTTTTTTACGAAATCCAGGGTTTCAAGTGCTTCCACACGAGAATGAGGAGAAACTGTTGGATGTATGTCGGACCAAGTTCCTTGCTGCTCACTTCGACCGTATCGGGTCTTGGAACAAGAATGGCAGCCTAGGAAAAGGATACGCCATCCCCAAGCATAAGGACTTAAAGAAATGGCGTCCCATTTGTCCTACTTCTTCGGAACCTTCCATTCTAGTGTGTAAACGGGTTACATCCTGTCTTAATGTCCTCATTAAAACCCTTCCCTCCACTCTGCATTTCAATTTGCTTAGTACTCAGGACTTGGTACCTACCTTATAAATAATCAATCGGTCTATCTCTCCTTCAGAGGAACTACTCTCCGCTAGTTTCGATGTGAAAGAAATGTTCAGCAAACTTTCCCACTCCTCTATTCGTGATGCGGTCAACTGGTTTTGTTCTTACTTTAGGTTCAGAGGATTTGAGGGGGTCTGGGTTAAAAAGAGAGGTAAGGGTGCGAAACTTTCTTCTAGCAAGACTATCATGGACTGGAAATTATTGGTTTTCCATACAATTGAAAACTTTGTAGTTTTTTATCTCTCTCACACCTACGTCATGGCCATGGGCAGGATACCTAAGCAGAATGTTGGGGTGTCGATGGGCAAATCATCCAGCCCCGCGCTGGCAGCGATGCTTTGTATGTATAATGAGTTTCACTTTCTGAACTCTTTAGGTAAAGATCGCTCTTTAATTCACGGTGTCAGACGTCTCTACGTTTGTGAAATTCGAGCGAGGGAACAGTGCTTCAGAAAGGAAGGCCACACATATCTTGGACTTATTCAGAAGGTGCTACGATCCCAGGCTAACCCTAGAGCAGACAAGTTCAGGAGGGCGATGGGATTTTCTTGTCTGTCATTTACAAATCTTCCCCCACCCTATCAGGATCCATTGTTTTCCCACCCATCGTAATCAACCCACCCTACTCAATTCTCAGTCTATCTCTTTTCAAGCCATTCATGATTTTTCTTCATTCTCAAGCAAGCAACAAAAGCTTGTTGTTATTAGTTCTTTTTTGCACAGAGGTAAAACTTTTGCTACTATGCCTCTAACTGAATTTATCTTCCTTATCACCCTAAAAATTGAACTAAGGATTAGAGGGTATCCGGATCGTTTTTTTGATGGAGCCTTAGCTGCGTTCTCTGCAAAATTTTTGGATTGTTGGAAGGATTGGTACAATGCTTGACGAATTGGAATCGTATCATAAGATGACCCACGGGAAACAGGGCCAAGGGACGAAAAGCCGTCATTTGCTCGCTCAACCGGGCCCGGCTGCGGTACAGTGGGTCTGGGTTTTGAATTACAGAAAAAAGGGGTCCACTACCCTCAAGTTTTGTTCGGTTCACCAGTTGTTGGGAAAACGCCGGCTGCTGTTTTTCATGAGGACCGATTCGTACAAGGGATCCTACTATCTGTCAGTAAAGAAGGGGGTTCGTTCTCTACAACCTCAACGGTGTCGCAACTACTATATTATCGGCCTCCGCGCTCCTCTCCACCTCTATCCTTCGTGGGACGATTGAGGTGCTCGCCTCTGTGTTGATTCCCACACTTTTTGCACCGGCCTCGCTCCGGCGCTCAGCCTGCTGAACTCTCTGCGCTGTTACATTCCATCTCTCTCTCCTCCCAAAACTCCTCCTTCTCTCTCCCCCCTCTTTCTCTCTCTCCTGTCTCTTATACACATCTAGATGTGTATAAGA